CTCATAAATAAACACGCAGTGTGAACATTATCAGACAGGGATTTGTTGAACAAAAAATGTTAATTTGTCAAACACAAAATGTTCATTTCTGAGTGCTGTGAATCCTTTTGGTTCCCCCCTCCAACTGCAAAATTCACATCAGTGAGATTACTCCCAAGAACCAAGTGGCAGGACCACCCCATTAATAATTAGCCCTTGTTAATTGCCTCAGCATAGCTGCTGTCACCAACGTGTCAACAGATGATCAGATCAGATCTACAAAAGGTAATCCTCACTCAAAGATTTTGAGAACACATGTGTGAATTGTGCACAGAAAAGGTCCTGTACTAAACCCAAGGCTATCCATTATTCAGTTTTAAGTCCTTTAAGCACCAGATATCAGTGGGAGGTGGGTGAGAAATAAAAACCAAGTGCTCAGTTTCCAGAATCATTTGACCCCACTTGCCAATGGAAAAAACGTTTGTCTCAGGCATTATTTAACACCAGACAAGAATAAGGCCTTAATTCATTTTTACAGGATTATAAAAAAAAAAAGCCACACCCATTCTTGAACTCCCAGTTTGGTTCTCCCCTTTGTGTTTCTGGGACAGCCAAACAGAGGTGGCAAATACAGAACCTGGTAACTGATAACAACTGTCCCAGGCTTTGCCTCACTCCTGGAGGCTCCCCAGAATAAAGGTTTAACACAGACTGCACCAGTCCAGAGTGCTGGAAACCAGACTGATCCTCCTCCCAGGAAAACAGGCATCTCCAGAACAAAATTATAAGGAAAGGGTAATTAAAGAGCACATTTTAAATTAGAGTCTAATCTGAGTGGAATATAACAGGATAATGGTGTTGAGAACATCATTATTAAATAGCTCTGTCCAAAATGGTTATTGTTCATCTGTAGAACAGAAGAGCCTGATCTCTCACAGTAATAAAACATTTTAATTCCTGCCAAAGTGACTGAAATAGTACTGAGAAAGCATTCAAAGGGACGGACACTGATGTAGAAGGGAGAGCACTGTGCTTCATCAGAAATGGCTGTCACTGAGACATTTACTGAGCAATAACTTCCCAGCTTCCTTCCAAACAGTTCCCCAGTTTTCTTCTCAGCCCCAACATATGACTGGTGAAATAGAAGTTTGTTCACAGTCTGATTAACAGTGGGGTCACTTCCCATGTGCAGTAGGTATTAAAATGTGGATTTAAGTTCTGATATCCTACAGGCCACCTCCAAAGACACATTATCTAGAGAAATAAAAAGACGAGGTAAGTCTGAAGAGGCAAGTTGTGTTTGCTTCCCTAATACAAAAAATTCAAGACTTAAGCAAGCAACTCAGTAGGTCTTGCACATTATATACATTATCACAGGACTATTTTAAAATCAGAGGCAGCTGAGACTCCTCTGCAAACCTCCTGCTTTCCTTGCAGGCCACACAGAAACGCAGTGGAAGAAACAAGCCCAAATCATTCCTGAGTGGAGCAGGAATGCTCCCATAATCACTGGAAATGCTCTTAATTGGTGTGGCTCAGTGGTGCATTTCAGAGCTATTAGATCTTCTGCCGCCCTGGAACTCTTTTCATGTGCTGGCAGTCCCAGCCCAGTCAGCAGTTTGTTTATCATATTCAGGATGAATTTCCGGCTCTCCAACAAAGTGGTATTTACTCCGAGGCAGGGAAGGCTGGAGTAATCCAATAAGTTCTCATTAGCCTAAAATGCAGAAACATCTGCTGGGGTCACGGAGCTGCTGGTGTGCTGTTGATGAGAGCAGCAGCTCCCTCTGCAGCAGGGGGAACAGGGAGCTGTGGGGAGGGGATGCAGGGACCCCGAGGATCATCTCCCCAGGCACCCCAGGCAGGAGGGATCCCACCTTACCTCGACCCCAGAGAGTGGGAATTACAACCAAAAAATGCCTCGAGCTGGTGTCCCATCTCCTGGGAAATCACTGCAGGTTCAAACAGTTGTTTTTCTGGTCAGCGCTTTCTGCTGAGTGAACAGAAAGGAGGACCTGTGGTACTTTGGATCCCTGAACTGCACTGAAAGCTCCGTTGCCTTCAGCACAGGGCAACGTCTCACCCACCTTCCACTGCCCTTCTTCACACTCTGCTCCATCAGGCTGCTCCTGAGAACCCCCATGGCCACTGCAGATGGAATGGTAAATAAAATAAAGGTCAGGAGATGCAGCAGTTTAAGGTGATGAACCTTTGACAGTGGAGTTCTGGAGGTTATGGAACTTAGAGATGTAATGCAGAGTTGGAGAATGGGAAGCCATTGGTTTTGGTTCAAGCCATGTAGTCCACTCATAACTGTTAAATACTTTTTAGTCCAGTCAGAACACAGAGAAATTAAGACCTAAATCATTAGAACTCAATGAAAGAGCCAGCCAGGAACTCAGGAGAGTGTGGTCAGAGCTCTACCTGGATCCAGGCAGGGCAATCTGCAACTGCAAACCCCGTTTAAAAGAGCTACAAACCTCTTTTTAGACAATTTTTTCATTGTCTAAACAACGATACTTCCGCTTCTGGGATCCTCCTTCCACCCCGGCTCATCTCTTTCTCAACTGCTTTCAGTTTTTGGAAGGAATAAAAAAAAATAAATAATCCCTTTCCCTCCCTGTCCCCCCCCAAAAAGCACTTTAGAATACATGAATGTTAATAATTGGTTCAGAAGAACTTCTGGCCTAAAAGATGAATAAATAGGTAGCACAAGTTCAGACAAAACAAAAACTCATTGGTACAAGTTACAGGAGGGAGAACATTATTAATTCTGGAGGAGGGAAAAGATTGATAACCTTGAATAAAAAAAGAGCCCCTAATTTGTTTAGGATTCCAACCGGTTTAGAGCATGTGACGTTGTCAGAAAATAAGTGGAAAACACAAAATAAGTGGTGTCACATCTGTTTAGCTCCTGCTCCAGTGATTCTGCGGCTCTTTGTTGTTGTTTGTACAGTGTTAAACCACAGCATCCAATTCCGTGCTTCTCACAAGGTGAAGGAGCCTAAAACTCTTCTGCAAAGAGCCAGAGCAGAACCACACAGAACACTCAGAAAAAAATCAAGAAGGAAAAGTCTCGGTCCAAACTGGTTTCAAAGCCTTTCCTGGAGAGGCTGAGATGCTTTGGCTTGCACTTGTTCTCCCATCGGAACAAAGAATCGCACAAGTGTTCAATTTAAGGCAAAGAATGGCCAGAACGCTCAAATTAACGCCTCTGGTTGTTCTGAAACAATGAGCCCGCAGCCCCGGGCACGGCCTTTTTCTGGACAAGCAGTTTGGCTGCAGCTCCAGGACTCCCCTTTCCCCTGGAATTGCGGCAGGATAACGACTGCCGCCTGCAGCAGCAGGGGTGAACTACTGCCCCCAGGATTTAAGAGCCTTTAATTGTGCTCACAGCAAGCGCTGCCCCTGGGGGAGAGCTAACAGCATTCCACTCCTCTGCAGAGGGAAAGTTCGCATGGCTGGGTGTCGCTCAAATAACATTTGGGGGTGTGGATACACTCATCACACTTGACTCAACAGGATGGGTTTAATTTAAAAGTATTTCTTTAAGAAAAAATATATTTTTAGAGCAGCAACGAGACAAGCAAGAAATCCCAGGAAAGACATTCTGGTATGTCTGTTCAGAGACATTATTGTCCAGATATTATAATATTGATTTTAATGTCATCCCCTTCGTGTTTAAGGCATCACTTCATGACTTTCAGAGCCACAGAATGACACACTGATCATGAGGAGGTTAAAGGGGTGAGGGCACACAGCCTAAGTAATAATCCAACCCTTGGAAAAAAACACTTTCATCACATCAGAGCCTTTCTACCCAAACCTCTATCCACCAAAACTAACCACCCTACTTATCTGCAGCTAAGCTATGACTGCTGGGCAAAGTTCCCCATCCAGTGGCCAAATTCATGGGTGCAGCTCATGCTTCTGACCCAGAACATGACCCATCCGTGTGCAGCACTTACAACTCACTTTTTGTTCTTATTTTAGTTAGATTTTAGTTTTGTGCTGAATGGTAGCACTCACAGGTGAACTACCAGCTGCAGATCATCCAGTATGTTCCAACAATAAAACTGCCCAATGGGTTCCACAGCTTATAAAACACAAGATATAGCACATCCTCCAGAGAAAAATGCATTCCATGTACTGGACTGTGTAGTATCAGCCCAGCTGGAAACAAAAGCTTCTGTAGGAAAGCAGTGAAGGTACTCAAACGTGACACAGCAGTGGAAAATAGCCTTTATTATCAAAAAGAACTGAAGTCCTTGAAGAGCATTGGCACTACCAGACCTAATGAAGCCTTCTGAACTGTTCACAGATCAGCAGCTGAATGTTGTTCTGGGGGTACTGTCCCAGAGCCTGAGGAACCACCAAAGGGCTGTGGCTTCTCCAAACAGCTGCACAGTGTCAGCCAAGGGGGCCAGGGTGGTGGGGAGATGTGTAGTGAATGTAGATTTTAATGGAACTGTATTATAGCCCTTCCCCTGCAGCATCATGTTTACAGACCCCCAATCCTCTCATCCCATTTCATACCAATCCCTCTGAAATTCCCTTAGCGTGTTTAGTCCTCTTTTCAAGGCAGAATTGTAGACAAACACCCTAAGGCCTGGAGCAGAGATGTCACAGACACAGCAACCTTCAAGCTCAGGACTCTGGAGGAACTCCAAGGACTGTAAGTGCTTTGAAGATGATGAAGATGAGGAAAAAGAGGTCCCAAAGGGATGTGTTGGGGGGCAGAACTGGGGGTGGACAGGACTGGGATTGGATGGACATTGTTATAAAACCACAGAACCACTGCCTGAGGGTGTGCCAGGTGTGTATTCCCTGGGCCTCAGGCCTGAGATTAAAGGACCTGCTCTCTTTATTTTATCTTATGCACTAAGCTGGCCTGGAGTCCTTTTCTCCACAGTCTTTAAAGCAACACCAGGAATATTATTTACTTATTGTTTCTTATTATTTACTTTGCAGTATTGTCAAGGCAGAAAGTGATGAAAAGGCTGTCACAGGAATCCACGTTAAAAGGTAGCTGTGATGTGTCCTGATGAGACAGCAGGAAGAACAACACTCCATTTTCTGTGTCAGTGCTGCTGGTTTCACATCCCCATATCACTGAAAAACTGGGCAAGTTGTGTGTTCATCCAAGAAGCAGAAGGATATCAAGTCCACTGGCCCTGAGTTAGTACCTACCCAGCAGTAAAACTACTCAGAAGCTTAGTTGAAATACCAGCGTTTCACAACATCCAGCCCATGCTTCTCTTCACACACACTTTGGTTATGCAGAGAAACTTCTTTACTGACTTCAAGCGACAGGTTCTGCACTTCTCTGAAGCTCCTGGAACACAAGAAGCTGAATCAGTGACTCCACAGGACAGTGACTTCTGCTTTAGCCCAAAGACTACACATCGACATTGGTGTCTTTCTCCTGCTATGGCCCCACCAGAATAAAAAACAAAATAAAGCGTGGATTTTTTCCCCTATGGTCTATCAATCTTCAATTATTTGAGTTGTAACCTCTTCACAGAATATTTAGTCAACAAGTCTTCCACTCAATTTTCATAATTACCTTTGAAGCTCCTTATCCAGTTTCTGAGACATTTCTTCAAGCTCTTTCAGTGCAGAAAGTGTTTTTGCACAGTCTTCTGAGTGGCTCGGTGTAATTTCTGCCAGAAGCTCCTGGGTGATCTTTAATTGCCTGCCCAGTTCATCTACAAGGGAGACGTTAAAGGTATTGTTAAAAAGGCAGTGCCACCAGTTAATACTGGACATCAACAGCAATGTAAGAATTTTAGCATAAACCCACTGTTTCTGAAAGTAAATTGGGTAAATCAAGTTTCCATACCAAGGTACTCTCGCTTATCTCCTCCTATGTGGATGTTCTTGATGGGTAATTCATGTCTAGTGGCGTCCAGGGAAGCTGCAAAGCTTTTATATTGCTTTTGAAACTGTTCACAGACAGGAACGAGGGGAGACAGCACTTCAATCTGAAACACACACACAATGAACCAACATTTCTCCAACAGCAGCTGCTTTGTAATTAAAGCAGCTCAACACAGAATGGCTCAACACAGAAAAATAATTTATTAAAAAAACCTCTAACCAAATATCACTCTGAAATGCTCACTGACAGAGGAATTCCAGGAGTTTGTGGTACAATAATCCTGTCCTGCTGTTCCATGTTTTCCTCTAAATGCCCAGGTCAATGCCAGTTTCTTTGGTCCTGTAGCTCAGAGGTATCAGCAACACAGCAGGCAAAAGGTTTTATAGTAGATGCTCTGATTACTTTAACTGTACTCAACAAGAGTGTTCTCCAAAGGCCTGGTTTACTTTTTGCAATGCATTATTTGTTAAAAAGCAAAGAGGGGTTCAGTTTTGCACATTAATTATTCAAATATTAATTATTCATCAGAAAGCTGTCTCCTTACAGCCAGGCCAGAGCTACTGCCGGGGAACCCACAGAAACCAGACAAAGAAAGAACACAAGATATTCCCTTCTCATTAAGGGTTGGCATTTCAGCTCCAGCAGAGAAATCTTCTCTGAATAAAGGGCTACTTCACATCTGAGTTTGTTTAAATGCAAGAGAAGCGTAAACTGAACTAAAACCTACCTGTTTGTCTAATGCTTCACTGAGCTTCTGCTCTCTCTCTGTGAGCAGAATTTCACGTTCCAACTCCAAGAGCTTCTCCTGTTGTCTCTGCTTTTCTTCACACAACATCATCAACTTTTTTTCTGCTTTCTCCTCCAGCATGGCAAGATTTTTTCCTGCCTGTTACACCCCAAAAATATGCACAGTTCAAGCAATGCTACACTTGAACAATTAACATATTCTGAGTAAAGAGACGTAAACAAGGCCAAAGAGCTTTAATTAATGAATAGGAGACATCACACAATAAGCACAGAACATCAGAATTAAAGCCCCCCTCAATCCTCTTTCCCCTGCTGCTTTCTGTGAAGGAAAATGCACACATACAGCACTGAGGGCACAAAGTCACTGCTATAACCTTGAACTCCAGCAGGACTCACATAGTTTTCCCAAAACTTCTGCATCCCTCCAATTCCTAAGACCCAGCACCAGACAATAAACTGGCACTGAACTCATTCTAGGGTTTTCAAAGCAAGGAACACACTTTTACAACTATAATCACATACAGTCACAAAAATCTAACTTTTATGCATCAGGAAGCATTTAAGAAATTAAACAATTCCTCAATATCAGGTTCTATCTGAAACACCAAATACTTGACTGACTCTCACCTTTATCCTTAAGTAAGTTAAAAGTAGTGTCTCAGATTCCAGCTCTTCCGTTAAATCACAGGAATCAGTTTCCTTCAGAAAAGAATATACTGCATGAAGTTTGGTATTAAAGCAATTATTTTTTTCAGTGGTCAAATAAATTACCAGTTTGTGCCTGGCATCATCACCAGCAACACAGAAAAGTTTGGGGTTTTAAACGACTCATGTTCATTAATTATACCTATGAGATAAGGTGATAGAACTAAACAGGACAGGAATGCAAAAAGAATCCACCAGGGGGGATTCTATAATTGGAACAGATTCTGTACCAGAGAGAAGCAAAGTTCTGGTCAGTATTCAGAGTTCTGATAAACAAACCACAAATTGCCAGCAGCAGAACTGACTTCTGCCAGGAGGGTTTAGATCAGCCCAGGACCTCAATTGTAACCCAGATTAAAGAGAAAGAAACCCTTCATTTTGCACATTTCAAAACAAACATCCTTACAAATGAAAGCAGTGAGACTCACTGCTGCCGTGGTTTTCTGTGTCTCTGCATCTCCTTCTTCAGTAGATTCTGAACAGTCACTCTTCTTGGAGACAGTTTTATCTGTATCACAACAAAAAAGTCAGTGCTCTCTTCTGCCAAGGTCTACAGGGTGGGTCAACAAACTCTCAGGTTCTTTAGAGGCAGAGATAATTTCAGAGTTATTATGTGCCCCAGTAAAGAAGACCTGTGCTCTGTTTCTGGCTCTGATACCCTCACATGGATCGTGTGAACATTTAGCATTAAGTGACAGTTACAGATGGGATCCACTTTTCAGAAGAGCTGACAGTCCAACACCCACCTGTTACAGGAACAAGGACTGGAGAGCACTTCGTTCTTTAATTTTTGATCTTCAGCAAAACCAACCCAAAAGATACCACAAATCCAGAGGTTAATTTAAACCCTTAAGGCCTTAGCACCTCTGCTTAAGGACACCTGAAACAACATGCACTTCATTTAACAAAATCCTTTTGTGGCTATGCAAGAATACAACGATTTCTTATCGCCACGTTTCAGCACGTACATCAAAAAATAATAAAGCCAGAAATGGAGTATAAAAGGAAATGTACCATTGATAGCTGAGAGATCAAGGTCTGGTCTTTTAATTTTTTCTTCATCTACTAAGGTGGACTGCAAATCATCTTTCTCTAAGATGCTCTGACTTAAGCTGTGGCCAGCACCTGTGAAAAGAAGCTGTTATCAGACTAAAAGAACTAGAACTGCACAAATTCACAAGTAAATGTTGTGGAGGCCCAGAGACGCTGATTTTAGCCACAATCCCCCTCATCTCAGGCCACTCCATGACCTGAAAAATGCTGCTTAAGCCTCAACCTTGGACTAAGCTCCTCTCGAGCTGATCACAAACACTGTTTGCAGGAACTGGTGCTCTCTAAGGAGCACCTGCTTTCCAAAAGCCTTGGAAAATGGACTGATGTGTATGTCCCAAACACCCTGGAGCCGACCAAGGACTGTGGGTAACAACAGACAAGAATTGCCGGGAATAACCAGTAACTGTTGGAATTAACAGGCGGTGAGAAAGATCAAGATTGGCTGGAGAAGGGTTGCTCCTGTTCAACATTCCCGACTCCGATGTGAGAAGGCAATATCGTGATTTCCTCGTGATTTTCAAGTCAAGGCCTTACCAGAGAATTCTTCCGTAATTCTTACAAAAGAAATAAAAACGGACTGGTTTGCAGACAGGGATTTTCAGGCATTTACATTGGGTTTAATAGAAAGATTAAATAAAAAAAAGGCAGAGTAAAGGTGAGGGCATAGGAAAAGAACAGTTCAAAACCTTCTGCATAAGGCAAGAAAAATGATTTTAGGCAGCCCAAGCATTCAATTCTGGATCCAGCACCTCAGTTTACATCTCTTAATCCCACATCAAGCTTCTCAATTCCCATTTTTATACAAATAATAACCGGCAGAGGTGTAAGTAATAAAAAATATTGCCATCTTAGAGCTGTTAAGAGTTTCAGAGGTTGGAAAAAAGAAAGAATAGCTTTTAAACACAGGTAAAACCTACCAACAGAAGTTTCATGTTTCTGAGAAAGAACTGATTTTTGTTTAGCTCCAGAAGACGGTGGGGCAGGTGGGGCAGCACACAACGATGAGGAACTTGCTGAAGCATCCTGACAATCAACACACAGGTAATATAACCAGCACATAATCAGCAATGTATCTTATCTTCAACTCGAATGCTGTCAACAAACAGCTACAATCCCAGGGCACATCACAAACCACCTGAGTGCAGCCCCAAGCTCTCACCTGGTGGCACACACAGCTCCCTCACAACCCCAGCAAAGCTGTTTTTGTTTTTGTTTTGCCCAGGTCTCGCTGCCCTGTGTCCCAGCCGCCCCTCACACCATTTCTACCCTTTGCTGAGCGGCGGTCCAAGTACCTTCTGGGCGTTCTTCTTGTAGCACTGCAGGTAACGAGACGGCACCGTTCTTCCTTCGGGAAAAGGGGCAAAGACAGTTCAGCCGGGCCCGACAGGCGGGATGCTCCTCACCCCTCAGGCCGGCTCGGATTCCTTGCCCACAACAGGGTTGGATCAACCCCCTCGAATGGCTCGAATTCCCCTCCTCAGCCAGCTCGGATCAAACCCCTTAACCGGGTCGGGGCTCCCCCCTCAGCCGTACCGGCCTCCAGCCCTCAGCCGGGCCGGGTCTCCCCTCACCCCACACGCCTACCTCTCCGCTTGGCTGCAGCCGGTTGTCCGCCCGCCGCCGCCGTGCCGGGGTCTCCCTTTTGCTCGGACATCCCGCCAAGGCGCTGGCAGGGCGAGCGAAGGCGCCGGGCGGAGGTCGCTGCGCCTCAGCCCCCCAATCGCCTCAGCCCCCCAATCGCCTCAGCCCCCCAATCGCCTCAGCCGCCATGGCGTTTGAACCAGCGCGCCCGCGCAGCGCCGCCATGGGCGGTGCCCGCAGAGCGCCCCCTAGCGGCGCGGAGGGCCGAAACGAGCCCCCTCGGCCTGAAGGGCCGCGCCCGGCGGTGGGTTCTGCGCTCCGGGTTAAATGAGGAGAAAAATCAGGGTCTGGCTGAGCCCGAAAGTGTTGGTTTTTTGGTTTTTTTTTTTGTCTTTTTCCTCTGGCATTTGGTGGGAGGTGGCCGCTCTCTGCGGCGTCAGCTGGTGGAACCCAGTTCTGGGCTTCTCCGGGCAAGAAAGACAAGGAGCTGCTGGAGAGGGTCCACAAAGGTGATGAGGGCTCTGGAGCATCGCTCTGATGAGGAGACACTGCGAGAGCTGGGCTTGGTTAGTCTAGAGAGCAGAAGACTGAGAGGGAATCTCATTAATGCATATAAATATCTCCTCCGTGGGTGGCAAGATGATGGTGCCAGACTCTGTTCAGTGGTGCCCAGCGACTAGGTGAGGAGCAACGGACACAAACTAAACCACAAGAAGTTCCACCTCAACACGAGGAAGAACTTCTTTCCATGGAGGTGGCAGAGCGCTGGAACGGCTGCCCAGAGAAGGCGTGGAGCCTCCCTCTCTGCAGACATTCCAAACTCATCTGGACGTGCTCCTGTGTCACCCGCTCCAGGTGACCCTGCCTGAGCGGGGGGGGGGACTGAACCGGGTGATCTGCAGAGGTCCCTTCCAACAATAAACACTCTGTGATTCAGGGAACTCAAGCACAGTGCTCTCGGGAGCTCCCGCGCTGCCCCAGCGCTGTCACACACCGAGCAGCGGGAGCTCTCCCAGCGCCGGGCGGCGACGCTCCCAGCTCAGGTTCTTGAGTTTTGACGGGAATCCGCCCACAGCCGCTGACAGGCGGACAGACAGCGAGACAGACAGACAGCACCTGGCTCCCGCTGCCCAGCTGTGCCTCGGGATGGGGAATAACCCTGACCGGGTGTCGAACTCGCGTTCCCACGAACCCATTTCACCCCCATCCCCACCCGGGCCCTTCATCGGGGCTGCGCATGCGCGCTCTGCGCGCGGCTCTGAATGGGGCGCGCCCCCCCCACCCCCCCCCACCCGGAAGTGGCGCGCGCGGGGCCTGTGGCGGCTGTGGCGGGGTCGGGGCGGCCGCGCTTCGGGACCGGCGCAGGTAACGGGCCCCGCGGGGCTCCCTGCCCGCCCTCCCGCTCCCCCTGCCTCCTCCTCTTTCGCTGCGGGCGGCCCGGCGCTGCGGTTGGCGGCGGCCGGGGCTGTGCGGGGTTCTGTGCCTTGGGGCAGTTCCGAAGGGGTGCCGGGGGTGGGTTCTGAGGGGGTGCCGGTGGCGGGTTCTGATGGCGTGTCTGAGCTTGTGAGGGGCTGTGCGAGGGTCGGCGCCGTGGGGCAGTTCCGAGGAGGTACCTGCGGGTCGGTGCCGGGCGGGTGGAGCTGTGGGTCGGTTCTGAGGGGCTGTGTGTGGGGGGTGGGTTCTGAAGGGGTGTCCGAGGGTTCGTTCTGAGAAGCTGTGCGGGGGTCGGTGCCGTGGGGTGGTTCTGAAGGGGTGTGTGTGGGTCCGTTCTGAGCGGGTCTCTGGGGGTCGGTGCCAAACCGGGGAGAGCCGCGGGTCCCCTCCGGAGCTCGGGGCCGGAGCGGGTCCCTGCGGGGCCGGTGCCGTGCCCGGGTGCGGGGCTGCACCGTGCGGGGGTCCCTGCGGGGCTGCTGGGCTTGCTCTGCATCTGCCGTGGCCGAGGAGCTGGAGGTGCCCCGGGGAAGGGATGTGCCTGATACCGGGCTGTGCCTCCCGTCTCCGGGGCAGACCCGGCCGCTGAGCCGGGCACGGTGTGACCTCCACCTCCTGTTCCTCCCATCTTTCAGCCGCGCAACCTTCTGCTTTTTTCTGCCTCTCACTCTCGGTATGAACGGCCTGTAACCTTTCCTACAAATATCTCAGCATCTTTCAGAAGTTTCGTTCAAACTCTCGGAGCCCCCTTTTGTTTGCGTTTGTTGTTTTTTTGGGCAGCTGTTTTGACAGTTAGTGCTGCTGCCGTGCTGGGGTTGTGCTTTATCGTCGTTACCCAATTGATTCATGCCTCGAGCTGTGTGTATGCCGGTAGTGCTCAGGCTTTTTGGCAAGCTTGGTTTTGCAATCTCTGGGAAGTAAAGCTTTTGCAAGCTGAGAACATCCTTTGTTACATGTTTCTAGACTAGAAGTAGCATGACCCTCCTGACCCTACAGTTGATACAGGTGTGTGTGATCCTGCTGTAGGATGACTTTCCCAGTGTCATTTTTAACCTTGTTTTCTACTATTCCTTAAATATTTCGGCAAAATTCTTACCCAGCTTTATTTGCGAGTCCTGTTTGTGAAAAGCGAGAAGCCCTGTGGGTGCAAACGAGCTCGGTGTTCTTTGATTTCACCTCGTGGAAATGGGTGGCAGTGGAGCAAAAGGGCTGGAGATGACCTCAGGCTTCTGGCAGATGCAATTAGCCTTTCAGAGATGTCATCAGCAGCCTCCCACGTTCCTCCTAGAGCTGGATTGGTATCGGGGTGTCTGCCGAGCTGTTTGCTTGCAAAGAGCAGTTTGTCAGGGGTAATTAGGAACTCTTTGATTTCAGGCCTGGCAGCTGGAGAACTTGCCCTAAAGTAACAGCGTGAGGTAACCCTGCGTGCTGGTTTGGGATGGTGCTGTCACACCCATCGGGTTTTACTGAGCCCTCGGTGTCTCGCTCAGAATCTTGTCAGGAGCAAATCCATTTAATGCAGGGGAAGCAGTTTGGGGCGCTTCAAATGCATATTCATACTGCCTTCAAGATGAATTTTGGCTTTTTTTTTTTTCAGAAAAGAGTTCATCTTGATTAGTTTGCCTTTGAACTGTGATGAGGTTCTCTGCCTGGTCTGCGTTTTAAGTCCCATATCTTGGTTTTCAGGATGATGCATTAAGGCCACTTCCTCAATCTTTGCTCTCATTAGCATAAGACTCAGGATGTACTGCGAAGGAACTGTGTTTGTAGAACTTTACAATTTGAGTTGGTTGGAGCTTGGGTTTTTCTTTTTTTTTTTTTTTTTTTAATCCTACCTGAACGTTTGTCTCAACAAAAAGCTTCTCCAGAAGTTGAATGTTGTGGCTTCTGCAGTGACAGAGCAGCTGTTTGCACGAACACGGTGGGAAGACTCCCGGCTCTGGGTTTTCCTTGGAAGAAACACTTCCAGGACTGAATAATTCAGGAAGTGTAAATGCAGCTGATGAAAAATTTAAATGAGAGCAGTGCTTTGTACAGGCAGAGTTTTCTGAGCCCTAGTGATTCAAACATTAGACCTCTCGAATAATTCCATGTCTGAATAACTGTTTGACTCACATGCTCATCATTCAACATTTCTGACGCTAAATATGGCCTTTCCCAGCTGGAAGGTCAAAAGGCAGCATTTGCATACTCTGGACATTAAAAAAGGAAAAGTTCCCAAGAAATGCAACAGCATTGGGTGCCCCAACAGCCAAGGGAAGGAGTGAAAAATTCTGATTCCCCAAAAAGCTTGTGGTTCAGAGCTTCTTTGCGAGTTTGGAGGCTGAAGGAGTTTGGCACATTTCTAAGAGCCAAGGCCTGTTTATGTAAATACCAAGGAGAAGTAAAGCCTGAGATGCTGATAAGAATTTAATTTTTTAGTAGAAAGGACTAGCAGTGTCTTTATTTCAGAAGATGAGAATTCAGAGGTTTTGTCTCGAGTGGATTGTGTTTTCTTGGTGGATCAAGTGACTGAAGCGTGGCTTGTGGAGTTGCTTTTATTGAGCCTTTATTGTGTTGTGTCTCTGATTACCAAATGAAACTCAATGCAGACTCTAAAAAAAAAATCTGCTCTTCCTTTCAAGGACAAGGATACTTAACAATAAAAGTGTTTTTAAAGGTATTTTTGACATGCATGTTCACGCAAAGTTCAACCCCAAGTTTCTTTTACCAAGTTTCTCCTCGGTGTAAATACAGATTAGAGCAGTGAATCTTGACTGCCTTTGCTGACAGCTGTAATGCTGTTAAGGATAAAATGAAGAGAACTGTAAAAGGTGGTAGAATAGTCTCCAAAATTCTTTTGGTTTATGTTCTTTACCTCTCTGTGGAGTTGTTTTGCCTTCATTGCTGTTTCCTCCACAATGTTTTCGTTGCCCCTGTGTCACACTTGCGTGTACATCTGTAACTCTGACATCACACTTTGTGTAAGGTCATAAATGTCATAAATAGACTTTTAATGTCCCTGGAAAGCCTGATAAGGCTTTCCTTGTCCTCAGGTGGGCACTGAGTCACTGGGAGGGAGATCTCTGTGCCTGGGGGTGGGGGGGTTGAGGGTGTGGGTTGGGATCTCTTGGGGAACTGAGGAGGAACTGCCTGCACCAAAGGTGATTTCTTTACCTTTTTCCTGTGTTACACATTGCAGCCCAGCTTCTCCTTTGCCAGGCACTCTGGGGCAGCAACTTCCCTGCCAGGGCTGTAGTTACCAACGTGTTGTAATTCTGCATGTTCCATTCACAACTCCTCCTTTTGGGGTAGAAAAAAATGAGCACTTTTAGTTAAAAAAAAAAAAAAACCCAAGGGTCTAAAATTTAGATTTAAATTCCAGCCAGCAGAATTTTTGGTAACCAAGAAAAAACATTGTGAAGTGTTTTTTTTCCTAAGTAACCTACAAATGCCTGGAATATTGGGAAAAATTTAAATTAATCCTGCTCAACTAACAGCACGTCCTGTCCTTCTGAGGTGAGGTAGGACCAGAGTCTTTGCTTTACCTGCACTGCACAGTTAATTGTGGAAATTTTAAGGTGTCTCTGAGGCCTGTTTTTTGCTGGGAATTCCTTGCTTTGGAGATCGAGGATGGGTAATGGCTGGATTCTTTTAAAATTG